AAGAAAATCGATACCGTACCGGTGTAGCGGTACAACACTAGATCGTACACGTCCCATCCCTATGACAGCTGTCAATATCAATTACAAGTATTATAAAAAAAAACCTAAGCATTCCGCACATTTGCTTAAAGTTTTAAATACTGATTGCAATAAAATAAAAAAAAATGGTGAAACCCCCCCATTCTTGGCGGTAATCGGTAGACTCAGTATTTATGTATTATAATTCATATGAATTTATTTAAAGCTTGGCTTTATTATTTGAAACGCGGTTACATATTCAAATTTCATTTTAGTATTTAAAGCTAAGTGAGTCTATTAGTATGTGTATTTTACTTGTATACTTACTATGAGGAATCTATACTTAATCAATGTTTAAGTAAACATATTGATTCATAGCGCAGTTATTTCATTTTGTTTATAAGAGTTTTGTGATTCCAGGGACGAAGAAGACGCCGTAATAAGACCTTTACCGCGAGTGAAACGAATTTTATCAGAGCCATCTTGTTTGGCTCATGTCGTTCAGCTGTTGTTAACATTTGATCCTATACTCGTTGAAAAGGTTACTTTTTATGAGATTCTTCTTTATTTTAATTGACATGATAACATACTATAGGATTTTTATTTCATTATTTTTGTAATTTTTCTAGGTGGCAACCCTTTTATATGAAGTGATGCAAGACAATCCAGAAATATCTAAATTATATCTAACCGGAGTGTTTTACTTCATGTTGCTGTACACGGGATCTAATCTATTGCCTATTGCGAGGTTCTTACGACTCACACATATGAAGCAGGCTTTCAGAGCTGATCAAGTATGTAATGTATTTATTTTATCTGAACCTATAAACCATGAGGTTGCCAAATATCTTAACGGCTCGGTACAATACAAGTTTCGTTGCGTAGAACACAATTCGTGTGCGAGAGTTAATCTTGAGCCGCCAAGATATTTGACAAGACTTATACAAGTCGTTCGTATTGAGTAAAAATTCAGTAACCTGTTTATCATTTGTAGATTTACTATGAAAAAAGATACTATTAAGCCAGAGGTGGCGAAACTTTATGTATCAAAGTGTTTTTAATAAATGTTTAATGCTTCTTCTTCATCAGTTCCATGATGCATGGTAATGACATTACGTTCGCTTATATAAAACCTACGTCATGCTTTTTCGTAGTGTTTTTTATGATTATCGACGTGCCCAAAATATTGTGTAGTGTGCCAGTGGTTCGCCACCCCTGCTCTAAGTGATAGTATAAACTAAGTTTAAGTAATGTTTCTAGTCTAGCTCAGATATAATGCAGCGGTCTATCCTGGGTCAGCTGCTGCCGGAGGCGATGGTGTGTTACCTGGAGAATCATGGCGCTGACAAGTTCGCACAGACCTTCCTCGGGGAGTGGGACACTCCGGAGGCCATATGGAACTCGGAGATGAGGTACTGCTTCCAGAAAAATTAGCAGTTGTGTAATTTTATTGCACCTTCCGTGGTCCATCTCTGGTTGTGCACAATGTAAAGCCCCTTATTAAAAAATGTAAATAATATCAAATATTACTAAAAATATATGGTCTATTAAAAGTCTATTAAAAAAGAGATGGCAATATACACTTTATAATGTGGAGAAATTAGTGGATAATACTGTTTTCAATGTCTACAGATTTAATTGTTTGGCTTGTTAACAAATTTTTATATGCATTTTTGTACCATTTTTTAGACAGAATTCGAGGTTGTTTTTTTTTTTCGAAAATAGCTCACGTTAGATTTAATTATCTTGGCGGCACAATAAGTCCTACAGTTAAAATTGAGTTGTACACAATGACTTGTATGATTTTCCGAGCGTCCAAGATACTTGTTTGTGCAGACGTATGCTGATAATGAAAGTGTCCGCGCACATCGGGGAGTTCACGCCGCGGCTGCGCGCGCACG